CGCTGCTGCACTCTGCTGCTGGGAGCCATCCCCGCCCAACTTCTGCGGCGCCTCTTTCCTGACTGGCCAGTGGAAGGGGAGTGTGGTGCCTCCGTCAGCCAGTGGGAGTTTGGGAGGGCAAGGGAAGAGACTGGGAACACAGTGCAGAGCAAAGAAGAAACCAGTAAGTGTAGGGTGTCCTGACCTTGTGCTCCCAGCCCCCTCCTACTGCCAGCCCGTCCCGCCTCCTGGGGATCCCTCCCTATCTCCCAGAGGACCTTCCCTGTGCTCTCGCACCCCTCCCCCAGCTCCCAGGGGACCCATGGCCAGCCCTGAGCAGCAGCAATGCCAGGGATGCTGTGTGCATCCAAGTCAGTTTCCCAAGCGTGGGTGCAGGAGAGAGGTGCAGGGATTAGGATGAAGGGGGCACAGTGCAGGATTGGGGACAGACTGGGGGGCAGGGGTTGGGGAAAGGGAAAACAGTGCAGGGATTAGAGTGCAGGAGGGGAGCAAAGGGGGCACAAATGTTTGGGAGCCCATCATGGCCAGAGGAAATAGGGGGCACCATGACTACAGGGCTGGGGCTCCATTTTCCCTAAGGCCAACCCTGGGGTCAGGGTCAGGTCAGGACAGCTCAAAACCACCACATTCCTTTGGCTCAGGTTGGGTCATCTCTGCTCACCTTCTGCCTGTGAGGTTGGTGCAGCTGCAGCTGCCTACCCTGCTCCTGCCAGCTGTTACCGCCTCACTGTGCTGCACCTCTCACTCCACTGCACACACAGCAGGAGTGCAACACGAAGCTGCCACAGCAATGAGCTCACGGGTAGGGGGTGACTGGAGATGGATTTCAGGCGCAGGGGGCAGGGAACAGGAAGACCAACAGACCTAGTCTTAAGGACAAAACACTGGTGCTGACACAGGACTGAGGTGGAAGGAAGTGTTCCATTCAGGTCAGGTCTGAGAATGATTTGACTTTCTTGGACTTGAAACAGGCTCAGCTTAAACCAGCAGTGGGCAATAACTGGCCTGCAAGCCAACCAGTTTTCCAGGGTTAGCCTCTGGTGGGCCCCCATTGCTGTATTTACCTGTGCCTCTGCAGGTATGGGTGCTTGCAGCTCCCATTGGCTGCGAATCACTGTTCCTGGCCAATGGGAGCTATGGAAAATCGCATCTCAGTCCATGCCACGTCCCGACATTCCCATTGGCTGGGAATGGTGATCCATGGCCAATAGTAGCTGCAAGCCCCTGTAATTGCAGAGGCGCAAGTAAATATAGCAACTAACCCTGGCGAACCATCACCGTCTTATCACCCACCTCTGGGTTAAGCTTTAAAATTAGGCCTGCACAGATCTCTACTGCAGGGATGCTTTCCTCGTCCTGTTCATCTCCGTCGTCATTAATAACATACAATGCACGTTGCTTAAATACTATCCTTCTGGGGCCTGATCTGAACTCTAAGGAACTGCAGGACTTTAACTGCAAGTTAGTATTAATCAGTTAATGACAAATAAGTTATTAAGCTGGATACTGAGGAAACTGTGAAGCTCTCTGGCCTGCATAGATCAGGAGATCAGATTAGATAATCTAATGATCCCTGCTATCTTAAAAATCTCTGACACTAGGGGAAGGGTTTGGATTGAAAGACCAAAACACATATACACAGTTTTTTTTAGCTTCCTAGCAAAAGCCTTTATAGCCAGATGCATTCCCAAGTACAGTGTAGACATATCCGAGAAGTTTACATTTCTCCACAGGTCTTCTGCTCAGTAATCTTTGTTAAAGTAGGAAAAGTACACAGAGGCTTACTGTGTTTTACCTTTTTTTGTGAAAAATCATAATTAACTATGCCTGTGAGGTAAGTACTGGCCCTCACTCTATTATACTGCTAGTGAGATTTGCATACAATGTACTCCAGAGTTAAATTGCTCATAAAAAAAACCCAAGTAAAACATTTAGGAAAAAAAATTTATTGGAAAAAAAGAATTACATCTCACACATATACACCATGAAAATAATTATTTGTGTTTAATCTTCAATAAGAAGAGGTTAAGACTGTCACAAAAAACATACACTCTGTATTACACTCTGTATTACAGCATTACTCTATTTGATCACAGATTCTGGTGGCCTCAGCCCTGTTCATTTATATTGGACAGCAGTACAGCAGGATTAAATGTGCTTGAAACTAATTGGATTACAGATGCTACCCACCTTTAGGTTAAGAAAAAAATTACACCCATCTGGGTCAATATTTAAGATTCACTTTAATAATTTTTTTGGTAAGGCCAAACTCCTTTTCTTAGTTGATTCAGAAATCAACAGCCAGGAGAAAACTCCAATGGAAAGTAATCCCCAACTCATTTTTCTTCAGTGGCTGTATGAGTTAAACGCACCTTAAAATGGCATTTAGGAAATAATGGTGAATCATTTTCTAATAAGAAAGTGACATAAAAAGACTACATTTAAAATGGTACCAACAGCAAATTGTACGGTCATGATTCAATGGCATTAGTATACCCATGATATCATCTCACTCTTACAACTATACCACAGTTTTCCAATATATTAATATATCAGAAGAAAATATTGTTCAATCAGTACTGACCATTTCTCGTATAAATATCAATTGTGATAGTCACTTGGCACTTATGGCTTCAATCTAGCAAAGCACATAAGCCCATTCTTAACTATTAAGTACCTAAGTAGCCTCAATGAAGTCAATGGAACTACTCAGATGTTTAAAGTGAAGCTCACACTTACATGCTCTGCTAGACTATAATATATATAAATCCACAAGGCCTCTTTTATAATTGATCATCTATTAATAAGGTCTTCAGACAAAGTAGTACTAGTCTGACAGCTGACTGACAACTAGCATTATACTGCTTGAAAATATATCCTTTGGAATGCCTTTCCTCATAATGAGACTAGCATTATTTTGGTTCACGAAAGTTTTTTTAAAATGTGTAAACAAACAAACCAAACAAACAAAACACATTAAATGCCACTTAGACTGGAAGGCTTAAATAAGTAACCCATCAGGTGCTGAAGAACGCAGCACAGTTCACTTCCAGCATTTTCTACCATAAACAGCAGGTTTCCTTGGCAACTTAACTTTTTCTTGTGCAAAAACTATGCGTTCAGACTGTGTGGCAAGAACTGAAATCATTTGTTCTAACAGAAACGGTCTAATTTTTAAACAATTCTTGTCAGACCTGGAGACCACGGAACATGCAAGTATTGTTTGTGAAAGCAGGTCCTACAAATGCTACTTCCCATTACTCTACCCACAACTTGAGTTGTCACAGGCAACCCCTATCCAGCTCTAGTTGTCTCCCAGCCCCAGAGGGAACTACTACGAACTGTACCACTGTATAGTGCTTTTGCAGTGGGGGAGCGGTACTTGCTAAAACAATCCAACTGAATTCACTTGAGATCCACTGAGATTTCAATATTGGTTTGAAGTAGCTAGTGATTAAACACCAAAGTTCTTCATAAAATAAATGAGGCCTACCACACCTGCTGGTAATCAAGTGTATCTAGTCTTTCAGAATGAGATAGTGCTTTGGTGTGGAAGAGCAGATAATGTTGAATGTATCCTAACTAGTGTACTATTAGCCTCATATTTACTATTGTAAAGGTTAAGGAACAAAACTTAATATGTTCCATTACATCTTGCAAATGCATGCTTAACATTTAATGAATGTGGATAGCCCCATTGTCATCAATAGGACCTATTCATATGCATGAAAGCATAAGCTGCATGTAACTTATTTGCAAGACCAGGGCCTTAAAGTCGGTGTTGCTCTTAGGAAAACTGGACAAAAGCCTATCCTTAAATGTGTTATTTCACTTTAGAACTATACAAAAAGACATGCAAATGATTGCTCTCTGCAGGCACCTTCTATTTATTTCCTCTATGTGAATCTAAATGTAAACATATACAGTAACCGGCCCATGAAGACTATGTCACCATCAGTAGTCTCCTATGGCTAGGAGACCCAAGGCGGCCCCAATAAGCATGTGCTTGGATATCAAATGTATGTTGTCTTAATCAGGCTCTGGGGGCTGTACTTGAAAATTAAACTAAAATAAACTTGGCACTCCTTGCCCTGAAGGATGTCACTGAGTGAAAAGCATAACCACGTACCTATACTCATGCTAGCTCCAAAGAACAGTTGCATTTCCTCCTGAAGGGCAGTGCAAATAGAAAAGTAAGTGCATGTTGATACGGCCATCCCTCAGAGGGTCCTCAAAACTCATCACACATAAATCGTGCCCACTAACTCCAAAGGGAGTCAGATATGTGCACAGTAAAGCACAGAATAAAGCTCTGATCCATGTCCCCTCCTCTGACCCATGATTAGATGCTCCATCAGGCGTTTTAGTACAGAGCAGAAGCAGCACTTGTCAGGCATAGATAAGAAAAAGCTCCCAAGGGAAAC